GGGGGGGGGGGGGGGGGGGGGGGGGGGGGGGGGGGGGGGGGGGGGGGGGGGGGGGGGGGGGGGGGAGAAGAGTCTGCATAGCACGAGGAAGGAGAGAAGGACTTGGCTCCCAAACACCATGAATTGCCGTCAGCCATGATATCCCAACACACCACCCAAGCAACGAGTGGCGAGGGATACATTCCCCCGGGAAGGCAAGAGACATGCAAGGGCGGGGATTAACGCCCCCACCACGCGCATAAAAAGGCGAACAGGGAAAACAGTAAAATGGGATTTGCAGGTTCATACACAATCGTTGCCATATGTTGAGGCAACCAGAGGCGAAAAAGTTCGATCGACAGAATCGCATTCTCGTGGTCTGCAACGTGTGTCCAGGATCCACAGCACAACTCGCAGCCAACCAACAAGAAGCAAACACGTTCAAGCCTTTTTTGCGCCCCTCAGCGGAAAGGTAAGAGCGCGGCCTCGTCTCAAGCCTGGCTACCCCCTCGACCGCCGCGAGGAAGACCAAGCGTGAGTGTCACCTAACTGAACAACCCTTAACACAAGAAATAACAGTCTTGAACGCAGGAGCAGCAGGAGAGAAAGCGAGAGGGTCAAAAACATGAGACCGTGCAGGGTCTCTTTCCGTCGAGGCAAAAACTCAAGACCCGTAAAAATGCAACACGTAGCTATGTAATAACGGCGGGGGCTGCAGACATGAGCAAGGGTCCATAATGGCTGCTGCCGTAGTCAATTTGCGAGCAAGGACGAAGGTATCTTAAAACGAATCACATCCGAATCAAGGCGGCGTACCAGGAGCGCTGTGAACGGTTCACCTCAAAGAAACACGTCGCTGCTGCAACAGGTGTCAGGTGTTTTGGATTGTGTGGCCACGATCCACGATGCGAGTTCTGCAAGGCGTGTTCGATGGTCGTGTTCTGTGCGACAAAAAAAATTAAGGTCCGGCGTCTTCACTGATGGCCGCGTAAGTAGAGTGGCTTGTTTTAAAGGAAGGCGGATATGCACAACACAAACTATTTTTCTTCGATCCATTGCAAAGTCGCAGATGGCAAGACACGGTATCTGTAACGCACTTGTTTGACGGCCGGATTGTACCTCAAGCAAGGTTGGTGTTGGATGAGGATGGATGGCTTTCGATCGATGTTTAACGAAACGTTTTTCTTCCACTCACTTCACAGTCACAAGTGGCCTAGCCGGGTTGTTGGCTTTGGAGGAAGACGGGCTTCCGGAAGGACTTTCGTGATTGTGTAACCAAAGGTCTTTCTCCTACTCACCGCATAACCCCGCCAAACCCCGTTCGACCGATGGCGGGGGTATCTCGAACGGATAGTCTTTCTGCGACTGGATGCCTATTTTAAAAAACACGCGCAAGTTGTCGTCGACTACATGTCGCGTCGCGGAGGAACGAAAGTCCGCAAGTTGTTGACGCCTACTGCAGCGCAAGAAATCGGAGAACTCTCTCGAGGGGGGGGGCGCGGGCTCCACCATCGAGCACCGCCTGCTCTATTTCACGGCCATGCTGAGCAAAATTCGCACATGGGCAGGCCTCGTGTCAGGTGTTCATGCGCCCTCGTCTACGCACTCAAACCAAAGGCTGTCTGCACCGGCATATGACCGCCGTCGCTTGCTCGAAAAAGCCATTTTCTGTGTTTGTTGTCATGTTTCCAGAGGGAGACGAACACCGCCGCAAGACACATGCCGTGGTCTTGTAATGTTTCGAGGGAAACAACGAAGACAACCACAACCAAAATCAGTAGGGCTGGACGGGCGCTACTGCTACTGTGTGCAGGAAAGCAGGCCACAAGGCAACACACGTGACGTGGCGACAACATCTGACGCGCTGCGTGCCCTGGTTGCTTTCCTGCTGCCCCCCGCCGCGCGCAAGAGGGTGCGCGCAACGCAGAGTGCGGGGGGGGGGGGGGGG